TGGTCGTTATTAAGGATCTTAGGAGCCAGGTAATACTCTAACACCCCCTACCCCCAAATACCTACCCTAATTAGTATACCTTGAAAGTTATCATAGCAATATTGTCTTAAGATATTCAAATTGATTTGAAAGTTGAGGTTTACTGCGACTTCGTCGGCGCGGAATTGAAAAAATGTTTTACATTTGTGAGGTTTTATAAAAGTTTATTAAACCGTTTCGGATTAACGTATACAAAATAAATCTTAACTTTCTCATCTACACTATTATTTTAAAGAATTCCTCTTTATTTGTATTTTTGTATGTATTGAAATAACTCAAAAACTACTGGGTCGAATTTAAAAATTCTTTCTCCATTAAAAAGCTACGTTATCAGCGAGTATAGGCTTTTTTTTTTAATTCCACGCCTACGAAGTCGCAAGCAAGAGCTAGTTTATTATAGTATGAAAAGTGATATACAGTTTTGATGCTTGTTTATTTATGTTAAGTAAAATGTTTTTTTTCTTCAGGTGGTGCGAGAGGCGTGTATAACAATAGCGCACATGGCGAAAGTATTGAAAAACAAACTGGACCAATTCACTCTGTACATAATGCAAGAAGTTATCAATCTTATACAAAATGCAGCTAAGGTCAGTATATACAGTAAACTATATGGAAACTTATCGCTGTCTCTTTCTTAATCTTTGATAAAATAGAGAACGATATGTACAGTCGTGGAAATCAACGGTGTTTCGATAATAGAAAAATTGTTTTGTTTCTTACTAGATAAACTTCTTCTCTAGTTATAGTAATCTTCAAACGATTGTTTTTAAGTTAGAACGCTGCATTTTACCACATTCGACCATGTGATCGGTAATTCATACACGTAACCATTAGGGTATTGGCGCATTTTTTAACAAATATTAACAAAACTAAAACACAGGGTATAAGGGACAGTGTTGTTTTTTTTTTTTTTAATAAAAGGCGTTATACCAAAGTGTTTTTTGTGTATGGTGTATGTTGCGTGTTGTGTATGTTGCTTGTTGTGTATGGTACGTGTTGTGTATGTTGCGCGTTGTGTATGGTGCGTGTTGTGTATGATGCGTGTTGTGGATGTTGCGTATTGTGTATGGTGCGCGTTGTGTATGGTGTATGTTGTGTGTGGTGCGTGTTGTGTATGATGCGTGTCGTGTATGTTGCATGTTGTGTATGTTGCGTGTTGTTTATGTTGTGTGCTGTGTGCAGGTGATGTCGTCTGCGGGCACCATCTGCCTGCGCTACGTGGTGGTGCACGTGCACGCGCCGCGCCTGCTGCCGCCGCTCGCAGCCAACCTCACCACGCACAAGTCTAAGGAGATACGATCCACGCTCAGGTAATACATACATTTGTATGGAGGACAATGTAATTATGGCAATATATTATAAAAAAAATATATTCAATTTATACTAATGTAATAAAGCGTAAATACTTTTTATGTACTATGTCAGCAATCACACCATATTGTTGAATAATCCTTCTTTTAATAAAAAGCCCGAAACTTAGGATACGCTTCAAGCTACATGTTTTCACACTATTAAACTTAGGAGGACCAAAACAAATAATTTGGAAAAAACCATAGTGCGGAAAGGTACAAAAACTACAATATTGTTAATAGCAGCAAAGGAGCAAGGTTGCCATGGTTACCATAAACAATTTTTAGACGTCAAGGGCTCTTTCATTTAAGCTAAGGAATTTTGACATTTGCAATTGAAAGTTTTACAAATGTAAATTATAAATTTTTTTTTTAATTCCATGCGGGTAAAGCCGCACTGGAACTTCTATACTTCCAGAAAAACATATTCATGTATATAATAATAGTCTCAAAACCTACTTGGAAAGACAGTACTACTTACTACTACTACTACTCAATCAAAAACTTGAATTTTTGCTATTTTTATTTTCTTTTAATGTTTTGGCATTCAGTTTTTTTTATTGTTTCCAGTGAGCTGCTGGTAATACTCCTGGAGCACTGGTCCACCAGCTGCATAGAGAAGCAGCAGCAGGTGGTGCGGGACGCCGTGCGCCGCGCCTGCGCCGACGCAGACAGCACCGCGCGCAGCCACGGACGAAAGTATACTCTATTATTATATATAGCTTTTCATTTAATTGTGAGGTAGACGTATAAAAGAGATTGTGTGAAAGGTGACATTAAGAAGTGATGACTGACATAATAGTTATTGGGAGGACGGAATCCGATCCTATATGGGTAGGATAAGACAGGGGAGATGATAACAATTCTTTTTTTTCTGCAAATATGTGGGGAATTAAAAATAACAAAAGCATAGTCTGTGTTGCAAACTGTCCTCTGTCAAATTTCATCGAGATCCGTTCAGTGAACTATATTATAATGACGTTTATTGTAGAGAGTGACGTCAGTAAAGGGAGGTATTGGGGCGGGGACAAATAAGCCACGCCCATTTGAATTTGAAAGAAATTCATTTAGGATTTTATTATTGAATTCGTTTTTATATAAATTCGCTGAAATAGGAAACTTAGCGTTGCCCGATCATAAATCCACAGAGAAGGGAATACACAAAAGTGATATTTCCTCTTTCTTAGTGGCTCTACTACAAAATCTTCTATTTCTTAATATGTTTATCTTATAAAAAGAATGAGAATAGAGTAAAAATAAACCTCTGACAAGCATTCAAGGAATAACTTCCATTCAACTCGTGTCGGTCTCTGAGTGCGGTAACTCACTAAGTGTGTCCTCAGGGCGTACTGGGCGTACAAACGTCACTTCCCCGAGGACGCGGAGCAGCTGTTCACGAGACTGGACCCCGGGGCGCAGAAGCAGATTGAACGGGAAAGGGTCGGCAGTGTTGACAGTCTGCATCACATCGGCACAGGTTAGTATACGTGTGAATAGATATGTTATTGAACGAATGAATACTTTGTTAGTGTCGCTTACAATATGACAGATGTCAAAATTTGATAGGAATTTAGAGTTTAAGCATAGCCTAATTAAGATGCTGTTACATTAAATGACGTTTCATTATAGTCTTCATATATATAGATTAATTGAAAATTGTTGTTTTAAAAATAAC